TTGGTCCTTTGCCAAACCTCTGCCTCGCCTGGCACCGACAGACACCTTTGTGTCCAAGGCCCGGGGTGCTGGCTGGTTTCAAGCACTCGCTGTCTGCTGGACGTCAGCGTGACCGAGGGGCTGAGCCAATGTCCCGGGACGGGCAGGGCCTGGGGGGACCGCTGGACACGTCCACTCAGGACCTGAGCCTCCCGCTCAGGAGGCCCCGAGAGCTCCCCGGACATGGATGTCCCAGGCCTGCCTCTCCTCCCCTCCCCCTGTCTCCTCCCCTCCCCCTCTCCCCTCCCCTCCTCTCCCCTCTTCTCCCCTCCCTCTCCGTGTCTCCTGCTGGGATTTTAATTGACCCTAGTGGGGCTGGGGAGGCTGCACTGCGGTTAGGGAGTGGGCAGTACTGTCTTCAGAGGATTCACAGACACTAATAAACCCGAATAAAAGCCAGAGAAGTGACTCTAAGCCAAGGGAGGAGCAGTCACCCTCTGTGCCCAGCGGTGCCCCTGGCCTCGGCGCGCTCCCACCTCATGGGCTTCCAGAACTGTCCCGGCCCCACGCCCTCCCCGAGGCTCCCCAGGGGGATGCAGGCAGGGGTGACTCCAGAGGAGCAGCACAGCAGCACGCGCAATGCCGCCCGGCCACCCGTGTTTCTCGCTGGATCTCAGGGCTTATGCCCCCGCGACCCTGTCCAGGCCCCAGCCCAGGCCCTCCCTGGGGGCTCCGGGCAGCAGGCGCGGCATCTGTCCGCACCAAGGCCGCTGGCCGGTCCTCCTTTCAGCCCCACAACCTAGGAAGCCCTAACCAGCTCCTCCCGGTGAGCAGCCCGTGCTACCCGTGCTCCTCGCCAGGCCCACGCGGGACCCATCGGAGAACTTTCCAAGATTCTCTCACGACCCCAGCCCCTCCCACCTCCCTTCCCAAACTCTGACGTAGGGAGTCTTGGCAGCCTGCTGGGTAGGACCCCTGGGTCAGTGGTCGTCAGGGGGTCCCCGACCAGCAGCATCGTGGGAGCGCGCATGCTCGAGGCCCCACACCGGCTGCGCGTGGGGCCTGGACAAGCCCTCCGGGTGCACCTGGGGGAGCCGGAGAACCAGCACCCCTCCTCACTCCCTCTCCAGCCACCTCCCCCACCCCCACCCCAGGCTCAGGGTCCTGTGGGTCCCCGGGCGCTCGTGGGCGTGGACAAGTCACAGCACCTGTTCCACTGGGAAGCGCTCTGCGCGCAGAAGACCCCCATGGTCCCACTTCCCCAATTCTCTGGGCCCCCCCCCCGCCCCCGTCAGGGCCCTGGGGGCTGAAGGCGCCGCCTCCGGCTGGCTGGGAAGGCCAAGTCCGGGTGTGCAGGGGGCTGCGGGCGGGTGGTCCTCCGTGTATTTTGCTGCAACCCAAGTGTGGGTTCCCCTTGGGGCAGGTAGAGCTGGGCAATCTCAGGAACCCAAGCTTCTCACCTGCGGACGGGAGACGGGCCGCCGCCCCCTACAGCACCTGGCTCCCCCGCGGCTCGCCCGCAGGCCTCCCCGGGAGAACCCCGTGGGGGCACAGGCCTGCCCGGAGCTTCAGTTTCCCTATGAGGACGATGGCCACTGCCACGGGGATGCTGGGGGAGTAAACGGGGCGCGGGGGGCGGGGGGATCTCGAGTGGCACTGAACAAGCTCGCTACCGATCTGGACCAAACTGCCGTCCCCTGACCAGCGACCTCTGTGCCCAGTACCGACGTCTTACTGACTCCCCATGCCCCACCCTTCCTCCTCGGGTCGTGGTGTCAGAGGCCCTGGGGCACAGGTCACCTGCATGTGGATGACCCAAATTCACGCCCCCGTTCCAGAACTCTCCCCTGAGCTTGTCTGGGCCCACGGTCACTGCTTGGCCCCCTGAAGGCCCAGTGGGCGGCCCAGGCGCGGGGAGGCCAGGCACCGCCCTCCGCCGGCTCCCCAGGCCGCCCCAAGCTCCACCGTCGATGCCCGAGGGTCTGGGTGTCCCCCTGCCGAGGCGCCTCACCTCACGCCGTCCACTCTCCAGCCTGTAGCTCCAGCCTCAGAACAGAGGGGGTGTCCCCTCCCCTTCGGCTGCCAGCACATCACCTGAGGACCCGGGAGCCCCAGTGTCCTCACTGCCGCCAGGCTCCGCTGCCCCCCGCAGCAGCCAACCGGATCTTATGATCGCAGGGACCGGGCCTGCCTCCTGCCCGCCCCTGCCCCTGCCCGAAGGGTAAGCCCGGACCGCTCGGGGAGGTGTCCCCAGCCCCCTCAGCCCGGCCCGGCCAGGAGGGCCTCCCTCCGGGGCTGGACCACCCATCCATCCCAGGCACCTCAGGGCCTTTGCACCTGCCGCCCCCCCCCCCGCCCCCGGCAGTGCTCTCCTCCCCTCCACTCACGCCCGGGCCCTGGGAGCCGCCTTCCTGGACCCGCCCGTCAGTCCCACCTGCTCGTGTTCACACCTGACAGTGTCTCAGCAGCTCAGGTATTGGGACCTCCCTGACCCCCCGCTAGGTTGTGGCCCATGGAGACAGCGACCTGCTCCCGCTGTCCTGGGAGGAAACTGAGCCACCAGAGGTGGAAGTGCCTGCAGGTGCACACAGCCGTGACGGATGGAGGGGACCTGAACACAGGCCTGGGGAGGCTGTGCCCCCCCCCCCGTGCTCACGTAGGGCTTCTCCAGCCCCCTCCCCCCACACACGGGACAGCGGCCTGGCCAGGGACGCTGCATGGGGTCCAGGCCTGGCGGGTAAGGGCTCCAGGGTGCCGCTGGGTGCGACTGTGACAAGGCTCCGGCGGGTGGGGCAGGGGCGGGAAGGGGCTGGAAGGGGGGGAAGCGGCAGGCCTTGCCCTGGCCACGCCCCCTCTGAGCAGGGCTGGGGCACCTGGGCAGGGCTGGGGGCCTGGTGACCCGGGGCGGGTCCGGGCTGTGGGAGGGGTGAGGGAGGTACCCCCCCCTGCTGTGCCGCTGCCCCGGGGGTGCTCTCTGGGCCCTGGACCTGGGGCCGCAGACCCGCCACACCCACAGAGGCTTAGCCCGTGGGCCTCAGTTTCCCCAGCGCTACAGTAACCGCAGCCTTCCGGGGCGGGGGCGGATGCTGCCCCCTTCGCTGGCCGCCCGAGTCGCGTGCCCCCATCTGTCTGGATCCCCCAAGTTACTCTCGGGGCCGGGCAGGGGGGCTCTGTCCTGGGCTGCCGCCCACCCCCGGAGCTCCCGACTCCTCTCTGGCTCCAGCCTGGAGCTGCGTCCTGCTGATGGAACCACAGCCCAGGCGGCCTCCTGTCAGCCATGGGGGTCAGTGCTAGGTGCTGGGGCTGGGGGCCGGGGGCTGGGGGCTGGGTGCTGGGGCTGGGGACTAGCTGCTGGGGGCTGGGTGCTGGGGACTGGGTGCTCGGTTCTGGGTGGTGGGGCTGGGGGAGGGTGCTGGGGGCTGGGGCCAGGTGCTGGGTACTGGGTGCTGTGGGATGGGGACTGGGGGCTGGGGGCCAAGTGCTGGGCTGGGTGCTGGGTGCTGGGGCTGGGGACTGGGGCTGGAGGCTAGGGCTGGGGGCTGGGGCTGGGTGCTGAGTGCTAGGGCTGGGAATGGAGACTGGGGCTGGGTGCTGGGGACTGGGGTTGGGACTGGGGACTGGGGCTGAGGGCTGGGGCCATGACTCCAGGCTCCCGCCAGCCCTGTCCTGCCCCCTTCAGCAAGGCTTCCCGAGAGGGCCACAGGTTCTGGCGCAAGATGCCCAGACAAGGGCTTGTCCCCAACCCGGGCTGTACAGCATTCCTAGGGGGCAGGATGCCCCCCCCCAGTTGTGTGTCTGGCTGCCAGGAGGGCCAGCTGAGGGGAGCCCTGGAAGGTCCAGTCCACGAGGTCGGGCCATAGCGCCCTGGAGAGGGAGTCCAGCTGCAGGGTCTGCCCCAGGGGGCCCCTCACCCCCCAGCGAGGGCCAGGCCCCCCAGCCCTGCCCTGACCCCGGGCACACACAGCTCGCCTGCTGTCCTGACTGCGGGTGTCTCTTAGAAGGAAGCCTCGCTGGGGTGCCCTCAGGAGCTGAAAGCCCTGCAGGGAAATCTCCCTCCTGGCCCGCAAGTCGGGGTCCCTTAAACAGAGCAGCCAAGGGGACAAAGGTCAGGAGGGCTGTGGGCCGCGGGCTGCGGCAGTGCTCCTGGAGAGCAGGAGAGCGGGCTACGGCAGGAGGAGCTAGGGGTGCAGACGGGTCCCGGGTGGGGTCCTGGGGGGTCCCGATGCCGTCCTGGACTGACCCCCCACAGCGCCTGCACACGGAGGGGCAGGGGCTGAGCTGCTCTGGTCGTGGCCAGGCGCTGGCTCATGTGTGGCAAAGGCTCCCTCGGATGGCCCACAGCCACTGGCCGCCCCCCCTCCCCGGCTGGCTGGCGTACTTGGGGCCCCACCAGCTCTGACCCAGCGGCCTTGGGTGGCATCCAGAGCCCCCTGCAATCCACCCATGTGCACGCGGTCCCCGTTCCCAGTGTGGACGGGAGATGCCAGTGAAACCCAGTCACCCCTGCAGCCGCTCGCCTGCTGCCAGACCCCTTTGGCCCCTTGGTGCTGACCGAGCTGGCTGATTTGATCCTGTTCACCGGCTGTGTGACCCGACCCAGGTGGCGTCCCCCGTCTCACTCTCCCCATCTGTGAGATGGGGACGTCGGGGAGCCTGTGCAGAGGCACGTGCTGGGACAGCGTGAGGGGTGTGGGGAGCTGACGGGCTGACAATGCCCAGCAGACGCCCCTGCAGGAGCCATGCTACCTCTGGCCTCCTAAGTCCCCCAGTCCCCCTGAGTTCTCCAGACTCACTAGACCCAGGGCCCCACCCCGAGGTCCTGACATCGCAGGGCCACCCTGGGCTGGACTCGAACCCCAGCTCTGCCTGCCAAGTGCTGTGTGGCCTGGGGAAGCCGAACTCCCCCAGTTGGAGCCACAGTGAGGATGAGGTGAGGTGACCACTGGCCACCAGGTGCCAGGTGTGGGGTCACCTCTGCACCAGCAGGGCCAGAGTCCCAAACTGTCTGTGTGGGGAAGCCGATGTGCAAACAGCCAGCCCCTGAGCCAGGCCGAGCTGCCAGCAAAACTCGCCGCATAAAGAAGGGGCTTTTAGAGACCAGGAGGCTGCCACTCAGCGCGGAGACCTTCACGGACAAGGTGACCTTGAGCTTGACCTTGAAAAATAAGTCAATTTTGATAAGCAGAGAAGAGGGTGCTGGGGCAGGGAACGCGCTGCAGGAAGTAGGGAGACCCCCAGGAGCAGCACCCCCCCGCGGGCCTGGACCCCGTTCCCCAAAACACAGGTGCCAGGTGGAGGCCAAGCCCCTGCCACCTGCTGGCAGGAACCATCCTCTGCCCGAGTCCCCCACAAGCCCACCACCCGGACCTCCGGGGACCCACATCTCTCCTGTTCCAGGTGATACGGGCCCAGGCCCCCCAGGACACGGCGACGTGCTGGGAGGGGCCAGTGTCGGAGCTGCCTGGGTGGGGGCTGGGGTGCAGCCTGGGGGCCGCACGCTGGGCCTCTGGATGCGGGAGGGTGTCCCGCGGCAGCTTCCCTGCCCCGGCTCCTGTGAGCTCCCCGGGGACCCGCTGCCTGTCACCCCACGTTGCCGGTGGGGGAGGAGAGGCCCCATAAAAGGCCTCGGAAGATGGATTTGATTTGGTCATTCTTACCGGCAAACCTGACTCAAAAGCCCTGACAGATTTGTGGGAACTTGGTTATTCATGCCCAAAACGACAGAGTAAATCTCAGGCCCACATGAGTCACCGCCGGGCAGTCCCCCTCGGCAGCTGTGGCACCGCTGCCCGGCAGGCTGGCGGCACGAAACCCGGGCCTCGGCTGATTTACAAACCCGAGCCGAGCCAGCCCTCTGCCCGCAGGGGGTGCGGCTCCGGGGCCCCCCCGGTGTGGACCCCGGCAGGGGCCACAGGGCCCGGGTGGACATCCCCGCGGCCACCCCAGAGGCCACCGCAGGCCCGGAACCTCCCGCCTGAGGACGTCCGTGGCCGGGAGTGGGACATGGGGGACAGGCTGAGGGCGCTGGCAGACGGAGACACCCCGACCGAGGTGCCTGGAGGTGTGGGCGACAGCCCGCGTCCCCCGTGGGCCGGCCCCGCGGCGCTCGCCGAGCATCAGAGGCCCCCTCCCGGCTCCTCTCCCACCTGCTGGCATCACCTCCACACCAGCTGTGTGCCCCAAACCTCTGCCCAGGCTGCGCGTCAGGGACCCCAGGCTGAGCCCCCAGTGCTGCCCGTGGAGGCCGGGGCCAGCTCGGGCGATCGGGGGAGAGCCCCTCCCTCTGGCCTCCAGCCTGGCAGGCCCCACAGGGCTGGAGCCAGTCTGGGGTAAAATCCGCAGGAATCAGCTCTCGGAACCACCAACATCCCCCCGTTTGCACATCCCCCTTCCTCTGGGAGCCCGGGTCTCCTGCAAAGTTCTCAGCAGGTCAACATCCCCCACACCCCTGTCCCTTCCGGCAGTGCCCCTCAAGCTCACTGTTGTCCCTGCGGCCGGCCCAGCAGGGGTGCAGGAGCATCAGGGGCGCGGCTGCTGTGGCGTTGTCTCCTGTGCTCACCCACGCGCAGGCTGCCAGGGTTCCCCGGGCTCCGGGGGTGTGACCCACAGGGCCCTCCTGTGCGCACCCCACAGGCCGGGCGGAGGACCTGCTGCCTCTGCAACCAGCGGGGGAGCCGCTGAACGTCTGCAGCGCCCTCCTGAAGCCCTCCCTGGGGGGGCGGGGGGGCCTGGCCAAGGAGGGTGACCCGGCCCGGGGCGGGGTGGGGGTGGTTGTGTGCCCGAAGGCAGGTCTCCGCAGACCCGGGACCTGGGCCTTCATCCTGTGCCCCAGTTCTGCTCTCCGATATTTTTTAGGCTACTTTTTAAATAAAAGCAACCCTCGTAGCGGGTTTAACGTTCAGGCTTGAGTATGTGAGTCCCCATCACGCTCCTGCACCCACCGTGACCCCCGTCCCGCCAGGCCCCCCATCGTGGCCCCCACCCCACCGTACCCCACACCATCCCCCTCATCCTGCCGTGCCCCATGTCCCACCATGCCCCCACCCCACCGTGCCCCCTGCCATGCGCGTTCCACCGTGCTCCCTACCCCGCTCTGCCCCCCACTGTGCCCCCTGTCCCACCGTGCTCCCCGTCTCACCATGCCCCCCACCCCACCGTGCCCCTGCCGTGCTCCCCGCTGGCCGCCAACCACCTCAGCCCACAGCTTCTCCACAGCCGTGGAGCACATGGTGCCCAAACCCTGTGCGAGTGTAGACACTTTAAAGCAAATGGCCCAGGGGCGCCCGGGGGGCTCCGTGGGTGAAGCATCTGCCTTCAGCTCAGGTCACGATCCTCAGTCCTGGGATCGAGTCCTGCATGGGGCTCCCTGCACAGAGGGGGGGGTCTGCTGGTCCCTCTGCCCCCAGACCCCCACCTGTGCTGTCAAATAAATAAGTAAACTCTCTTTAAAAAAAAATAAAGCCAGTGGCCCCAGTGGCCCCAGTGCAGCCGTGCACGCCCTCCCATGACGGCGAGCCTTCCCGTGCCCGCGCACCGTCCCTCGACCGCGGCCGCCCGTGACCACACACCCTCCCATGGCCGCACAGCCCCTCATCGCAGCCCCTCGGGACGGCGCAGCACACCCTCCCGCGAGCACACAGCCTCCCGGCGGCACAGACTCCCCGCGTGCTCGGGTCTCAGGGCGCACAGACCCACCCCGTCTGTAACGCCCCAGGGTGGCTGGGGGCAGCCCTGCTGTGATGGGCCCCCCAGGACCCACTGTCCTCGTGCAGGGAGCCTCCCCCTCCGGGCTGAGGGCATGTGGGTGCCCCCAAGGCCTCTGCTCCAGGGCCAATGCAGGCTGGGCTTCCCGCCCCCCCCAAAGGAGGGAGCCCTGCGTCCCCTGGGCCCCCTGGCAGCCCGCCCTGTTGTTGCTGAGGACGTTTGGGGCGTGCCGTCGCTTGCTAGGCTGCGGGGGCACCGCTCTCAGCCCCTCACAGAGTCTGCACCTCCGCTTCTCCTGGAAGCCTCTGTCCCCAGGTCCCACGGGCCCCCTGGACCCCAAAGGGCTCCCCCCACCTCTGTCCCACAGCAAGTCCCCACCTGCTCGCGTCCCCACCTTCCCAGCATGGTCATTGAGACCCACGGGAAGTGCTGCCCGAGAGGGGCTGGGCCGCCCGTCCTGCGGTCCCCGAGGTGGCCCCTGGGGTCCCGGCCAGCGCTGCTGGGGCGACAACGCCCGGGGCCCTTCCTGGGGCGGCTGTGGGCAGAGGCCCGCCCTGTGGGCTCAGCAGCGCCTCTGCCCGCCTGGCTGAGAGGAGAGCCAGCCTGCAGGCCCGAGCCCGAGGCCACGTCCTCGCGCAGGGGGGCTGCTCCTTCCGAGGTAAGTAGCCAAAGGGAACAAGCAAGTTGCATGACTTGTGTTCATTGTGTCAAGTTCTGGCCCGAGACCTGCTGCCCCAGCAGGTGGGGGACATGAGCCCATGTGGGCGGGAGGGGGGGCTGCTCAGTGCCCCCCAGTGTGCTTGGGGACAAGCCTGCAGAAGCTCCAGCAACGGACAGGCCTCCGACGGACCGACCCAGCAACCCTCCTGGAGCCACCATTTCACAGGGGGAGACGGGGGTGGGGGAGGGAGAGACGGGGGGGGGGGGGGGGAAGGGAGAGATGGGGGGAAGGAGGGAGTGGGGAGAGACGGGGGGGGGGGGAGGGGGGCTGAGGCCGCAGGAACATGCCCCCAGCTCCTGGGTTTGGAGCCCGGCCTGGCTCCCTCATGAGACACCAACTTGCCCGTGGGTCCCCGCTGAGCCCCCCTGCCCACCCCCGCCTCATGGGGCCGAGGAGGGAGGTCTGGGTGGCAGCAAGGCCCGGGGCCGGAGGTCAAGGGTCAGGAGGGCCCCACGGTAGGAGCCGCGGCTGCCCTGCCCCCCGGGGCCGTGCCCAGCGGAGCACCAGCCCTCCAGGTCCTCTCCCCCGAGGGAACCCTGGGCCGCCCCCGCCCCGGAGCACTGTCCGCCTGGGCAGGGGCAGCGATGCCAGGGAACCCGGCAGTGTCTGGAATCGCGTCCAGAGGTTTCCAAGGAGAGAAATTCGGCCAAACCCTCAGGGGGATCACGGAGGCTGCTCCGGGCGCCTGCTTTTGCCTCGGCCGCACTCCGCAGATGGCACCACGGACCTAGGGGGAAGGGCCTCGCGGCCGGAGGGGAGGCAGCAGGACGGGAGGCCAGGCCGGGGCTCCCGCCCCCATGCCACGACCCCGTGTCCCCCCCCCCCCCGCAGGCAGGCGGGCGCTATGTGTGGGCCGCACTCCCCAGAGGCCCTTCCTCGCGCTGCCGGCCCCTCGGGGGCACCGTGCTCATCCCCGGTGGGACCTCCCGGGGAGGACGTGGGCCAGCAGCTCTCGACTAGTCACGACAGTGGTTATTAGCATCGTCATGATTAATTATTAATATATCAATACAATTAATACAGCGCCGCATGAATAATCCATGTCCGAGCTCCGTCTGCGGACGGCGTATTAGAAGCGTGGCGGGCCTGCTTCAGATCCGGGAGTCCCCAGATGTGACGCCCTCCCCCCAGATGCGCCAGGAGCCGGAGCCGGCCGGCATGTTCATTAACTTGTACAGACCCCGATTAACGGCCCCCCTCTTGCCGCTCGGGGGTCTCTCTCTCTCCCTCTGGCTGGAGGCTGAGTCCCGGGGCTCAGGGACCCAGGCAGGGGAGCCGTCCCTGCACCCTGGCCCACCGGCACCAACCCGGGGTGCGCAGGGGGCCGGCCTTCTGTCGCTCACGGTGGCCGCGTGCTCACGCCCCCCCGCTCCCCCCCCCGCTGGCAGGCGCAGAGGCCAATCACATGGGTCCCAGGGTCCTCTGCAAGCCCGCCAGCCCCGAAACTGGCCTCCAGCCTTCCCACCCCGAGCCTTCAGCGGTGTCCTGCCCCGTCGCCGAGCGCTCCTCCCAGGCCAGGAGTTCCTGGTCCCACGCGGGGCTGACGACAGGGGACACGCAGAGGCAGCGCCATCCTTATTACTCTGTGGTTCTTTTGCTGCAGACGCAACTGAGGAGAGCCAGAGCGGTGCCAAACCCAGAGCTGCCACGACCCTCCCCGAGGCTGGCTGCAAGGTCAGTGCCGCGGATGAGGCCTCTGGGGGTGGCGGGAGCTCCTGGGGGGTCTCGGGGAGGGGGCTCTGCCAGCCAGGAAGGGGCAGCTGGGGCCCTGGGCACGGGGTGGCCAGCCGTAGGAGCCAGGCATGCTCAGGGGACCGCGGCCACTGTCCCAGGAGGGAGAGGAGCGGGCTCCTCGGGACGCGGGTCCTGAGGGCAGTGAGCACGTCCTGCACCCAAGGGCCCCGCCCTCTGGCCTCCAGATTGCCCGCTGTGGTGACCGCTTGTCAGGGGGCAGGAAAGGGTGCAGCGAGGGGATGGAGGCGCACCCAGCAGGCTGCGAACCCCGGGCCCTGCCCTGGCCCCTTGGCCCTCCCGTGGGAGCCGCACGGGGCAGCCCCGATGCACAGATGAGAACAGGCGTGGGGGCGTCTTCCCTGTGGTCGCAGACCAGGACTTCTGCAGAGCCGTCGCAGGCCGGGGGCAGCGCGCGACCTCCCACAAGGACTGGGGCCGTGTGGGCGCACCGCCCCATCCTCTGTCCTGCGGGGCACACGCCGCGAGGGACCGGCGCTGCCTTTACACTCACGGAAGCGCCTCTCCCCACGGCCAGTGGGCGCAGCCCTGGCCCTGCCCTCCCCCGCACGCTCGCCTCTCCCCGTGGGACACTGGCCTTGGGGGCAGGGGTCTGGCCATGGCCCCCCAGGAGGACGAGGTGGGCGGCGGGTCAGAGCCCCCACGCCTGCATGACTTGCTTTGGCTCCCAGGCCCCTGGGGGAGAGTGGCCCCCGCTGAGGACAGTTCTGTCCTTGGTTTGAGGCATCAGCTCCCCTGCAGCATGCACGGCCCCACAGATCGCCAGCTTTTCTGGCAAATGCTGACCCAGGCCCCAGTGCCCCCACCCCGCCCTATGAGAGGCGTCAAGGGGCGGCCCCGACCGCAGGCTGCAGGTCACCTGGACATGGGCGACACACAGGACAGAAATGGGTGGTGTGAGACCAGCCCCGCCCGGCAGTGCCTCCTGGCGGGCGCAGGCACAGGCGCAGCAGAGGCAGCCCCAGGGGCTCCAGAAAGAGCCTCGGGGACCATTGGGAAGGAGGGCAGGACGCAGAAGGGCGGGCGGCTTCCCCGACGCCAGCAGCTGGGCAGCTTGGGGGACGCCCAAGAGCCAAGGCGACAGTGAGCAGTTTGCGGAAGACACACTTGTGCTCCCCGGGGAGGCGGCGGGCTGCGGCTGGACATCTTTGTGCAGGACGGGGGCACCCGGTGAGGATGGGGCACCCGGTGAGGATGGGGCACTCGGTGCAGCACGGGGGCACCCGTGAGGACGGGGCACCTGGTGAGGATGGGGCACCCGTGAGGATGGGCACCCGGTGCAGATGGGGCACTCAGCACAGAAGACGGACTAGCCCGTCTCTACACATTGTCATTGGTGTCTCTGCAGTGACGCCAGCCTGGCGTTGGCAGGATGCCGATTTTCTCCATCAGTCATGCGTCCACTGGTTGGTGCCGGAAGACGGAGAATCTCCATCTAGAAACTTCTGACTCAAAAAAAAAAAAAAAAAAAAAAACTTCTGACTCAGCCTTGCTCCCCTGCCTGCCACGAGATACACGGCCCAGCTTTGCGTGGCGGGAGATGTCTCGTGATTCGTCGTTCAGCTCCCCGGTCCGATGGTGAGTAGGAGCACAGGTCGCGGCCGTCCCCACGAGCCTGCTGACAAGGGAGGCCTGACCCCCCACTTGGCAGTGGAGGCCTGTGGAGGGACCCCCGCCTGCCGCTCCCACCCACCCTCCTGGGACAGCTCCCCGCGTACTCGGACAGCGGCCCATACGTCGTGGGGGACCCACCGCACCCAGGGGCCAGCTGCAGGATGTCCAGCGGGGGGCCGCTCTCACGGTCCTGGACAACGTCCTCCAATCTACCCATGCGAGCCCCGGGGCAGCCCTAACGTCGTCCGCGTTACGCTGACAAGACCCCTGCTTCTTGTTGCGAGCACCCACGTTTCTCTTTTTCTTATTTTTCTATTTTCTATTTTTTTCTTATTTTTTAAAACCAGTCGGGTCGAAGCCGCACGGCAGGCAGCTAATGTGCACCCACTGCTGTCCCAGGATGGCGGAGCTGAGACGTGACCCCCCACCCGGGCATCGGCCAGCCCACACGTGCGTGCCACGCTTGGCACACGAAAGCTGCCTCCACGTGCCCCGCGGCCCCTGTGTGTGCCCGGCCCACACCTCCTCTTGCAAACAGTGTTCTGGTTCCTCTCACATGAGCCCGAGTGATTCCAGTGGATCCCACACACCACCCCCCGCCCCGTGCTCCAGTGACCCCGGCCCTGCCCGTGAGCGTCCACCCGGGCCCCCCTGCCCACCTCTTTCTCTCGCAGCTGCGCTGCTGCTGCCCTGGTGGGAGGCATGAGCCCGCAGCTGCCACCTTAGCCCGACCTGGGGGGGGCCCAGCCCAGATGGAGCCGCCCAGAGGAAAGGAGCCGCGAGGTGTAGGCCCTACACACTTCTGGGCACCTAGTTTGAGGTTCTGGACCCGGCCCGAGGGTCAGACCTCTCAGCCCTGAGCCACTAAATTCCCTTCTAGGTGGGTTCATACCCCCAGCGGACACAGCCTGGACGCAGGAGCTGCGGTGGACCCGTCCCTCCCCGGGTGGCCCTGCCGCGCAGCCTCTGCCCCTTGTCCCTGGGGTCCAGCCCCGGGCAGCGCAATGTGTCTGGCGGTGAAGGGCAGCAGGCCGCAGGCACGCACCCGCGTGAGTGGGAGTCGCAAGGCAAGTCCAGGAAGGAAGACGCCCGGCAGGGCCGCCGCGTACCGAGCCGGTCACCGAAACTGCTGGAGGAGACTGATCAGGTCTTAGGCAACAGAAGGTACGTCGGGGGGGTGGAGCCAGGACCCCAGGCTTCGGGGGCTGCAGTGGAGGCCCATCGAGGCAGGAGAGCACAGGGGGCTGAGCACAGGGGCCCAGGGAAGGAACACGGGATGGGGGCTCCCCTGGAAGGGGGGAGCTGAGTCCTCCTCTTGCGGGGTGGCCAGGGAGAGCCCACAGCCCTGGCTTCACCACCTCACTGTGAGCCTCCCCCCGACGCGCCGTGTGCACCCCAGGGGCCAGACCCTGTCACACCCCCCCCAGCACCCCTGCCCTCCCTCAGCCTCCCCTGCCCGCTCAGCCCACACTAGGCCGCCTCCCCAAGCCATGATAGTGAATTGGGTCTGTGTGCTGGGGGGCGGGGACGGGGGTGTGTGTCTATGTGAGGGGGTGTGTGCGCGCACCTGCGTGAGCATGCACGTCACCGTCGCACGTGTGCCTCATGTGTGTGCGTGTGCCTGCAGGTATTTGGGAGCCTGCACAGGCGAGTGTGTGCACGTGTGCCCGGTGTGTCCCCAGCAGTAAGCACTAAGGCCTGGACAGAACCGAGCAGCAGCGACACGCAGAAGCGCCCGGGCCCAGCTGCCTGCGGTGCGAGCAGCGCCACCGTCCGAGCGGCTCCGAGAGTGGCCGCGCTTCCCCAGGAGGTGGGGGGCGGGGGTGCGGATGACGGGCCGGGCTGCACCCCGAGATCACACCCGCCTTGCCCAGCGGCCACGGAGCTCTTCGGAGGCTGCGAAGTAGCAGGAGGGGAGCCTCCCCACCCACAGGCGCCCACGCCGTCCCCGTGGCGCCGGACAAGCCGCCTTGCTCACCGTCGCTCACTGTCCACATGCCGAGTGTTTGGGGCTGCGTAGAGCATCTCCACATCGTCCAAGAAAGAATTTCTTTCAAAGGAACATTTTCTTGACTACAACGTACCGGGCATTTCAGGGCCCTCGTAGGCAGGACGTGGCCCTGCGGGACCAGGGACTGGGGTTCCCAAGCAAAGCCTCCAGGCCTCTGGCCACTGAGCCAAGATGCCTCCTGCCACGCGGACGGTCGCAGAACCACGGGAGGCAGATGTGGAAGGGGCGGCGCGGGGAGGCCGGGGGCGGGGGGGTGCAGGCGACCGTCTCCCTGTACAAGCTCGAGACGCTCGGCCAGAAGAAGCGTAGCCTGGAGCCGTGGGACGCGCGGCCTTCGTGCAGGGCCCTGGGGCCCGGGTGCTGATGCGCGTCCCCCCGTTGCCCTCCTTCGGGCGCCGAGGCGCACAGGTTGTACTTGGGAGGCCGAGGTCGAGGGGCCCGTCCCCGACTCCTGCTCGGGTTCACGGAAGCCCGCCTTCACCCACGTCCCCCAGCTTCCTCCCCGGGTGCCCAAGGTCGGCGTTGGCCGGGCGCACAAGAGCAGGCCGCTGGGACAACCCCGACAAGGGACCCCACGGCCAGGTGCCAGGGCTGAGGGGCACCATGAGGATGCACAGCGGGGTCCGGGTCAGTGAGTACGGAGGCCCGGGCCCACGGGCAAGGTGAGGCCGCAGGGGCTGCGCCGGGAGCCCCCAGGGACATCAGGGCTTTTCAAGAGGGACGGAGTCCGCAGCCTGGGGGGATCCCTGGCAGCACCAGGGCTGCCACGAGGGAGCCAGATCCGCTGATGGGGGGTGCGCGGAGCAGCTGGTAACGCGGAGCAGGGGAAGGCTGGCCCCGCAGGCCCTCCGAGCACAGGGGACAGGGTCAGATGCTCACACCCCCTCCGGGTGGGGGGCTCCCACCCCGCTGCCCCTGCTCCCCGAAAGCCTCGCCCGAGGCAAGATCCTCAGGCCCCCAGGAAGCCGCACAGCAGAGCCTGGAACCACCTGCAGGAACCAAGGCGGCTTCTGCCCCTAGTGGCTCAGGCTCTGCCCGGGGAGGGACCCCATGTGGAAGAGGCGGGCCCAGGGCCCACAGCCCCCTGCATGCCAACCCAGACTGGCTGGGCCACGGGCACAGGCCTCAGCCCCCCTGACAGGCCCAGCCCCAGGGGGACACGGGCCCGGGGACCATGACAAGCAGAGTGTGAGGCCCCCTGGGTGAACCCGCGTCCCTGTGCCCCTTCCAGGCCCCTGGCGTGGTGTTCACCCAGCTGGGCCCTGGCTCCCCGTGGACACCTGCTCCAGAAATTGGCACTAGCTTGTGGGCACATGCAGCTAAAGCCGTGCAGGCTGCCGGGGTGACCAGACTGCCCCGCAGTAAACCTCCGGACCAGGAGCACAGCCCAGGCGGCCGGGGCTCAGGCCCGGGCCTCCCTCTGCTCGTTGGCCTCCTCCCATCCCTCTCAGCTCGGTGAGAGCTGGAGCTGGGCCTCGGTGGGCGAGCGGCTTCCCCGGGCGCCCCCGCGTTCCTTCACCAAACATCTCGTAACTGCTAGGACCAGGAGCAGAACAGGGGCCCCGGGCGTGTTCTAGGCCTTTCTGCGCACACGGTGCCCAGCGCGTGCCTCTGCTGCTCCCTCTGCACTCGGCCTGGCCCAGGGCTGGCGGACGGGGCCTCAGGGCCGCCTCCCAGAGGGCCGCGTTCATACGGCCCACGAGCTGGGATTGGCTTTTATATTTTTGCATGACCGAGGGTGAGAAAACCCAAAGGAAGGGCCGTGTTTCAGGACGACTAAAATCACGCAACTCGGCTCCCAGCGCCCACAGCTCCTCTGGAGCCCACGGAGCCCGCCGTTCACGTGCCGCCCGGGGCTGCTTCCTGGGGCCGCCCCGCCCTTGGCCCCGTGAAGCTCGCCTGCTGCCCACCCGGCCCCCTCTGGGGTCTTTGGCCGCCTACCCCACGGCATCTGTGTGGTCAGCCGCGGCAACGGGAGCCGAGTGGGCAGCCGGCCGGGGGCGGGGGGGCGCCGGGAACCGCTCCAAGGAGTCGGGAGCTGACGTCCATGCTGCAGGTGGACGTGGGGGCCAGCCTTTCAGCTGGAGGGGAGCTGAGGCCGGGCGCAGGGGGCAGGCGGCTCTGGCCACCATGGGGGGTGGGTGCAAACTGTCCCCAGTCAACTGAAAAGCTGATCGATCAGCTTGTCGGGCAGTGGATGGCGGTAAGGACCTGCGTCTCCCTGTCCTGAGGACAAGGGGTGTGCCCACGTCCCCGCAGGTGCAGCATTCCACACGGGCCCGAGAGCTGCCTCGGGCAGGAACCAGGCAGGAGGGCGGGGGTGGGCGGGGGGCAGGGGGAGGTCGGCCTCGCCAGGTCCTCGGTGTGGGCAGGATCCGAAGGCGGGCTCTTTGGCGGGTGCCCAGGAGAGAAGCCCCGGCTCTACCTCCTGTGTGTCCTGGACGCGCGGGCAGGGAGCCCTGCGGCCCCACAGCAGGCGGTCCCAGGGCCTGAGACGGCTCAAGCGACTTCTGCACAAGCAGGTGCGGGGCCTTGGCGGGCCGTGTGCTGGGCCTCCCCGCGCGGCCACCAGGGCCACGGACGCCTAGCTGGGAACGGCCTCCCGGGGCCAAGGTCACCTTCAAGGAGAAAGTGGAGCCAAGGTGGGGAGGCGTCTGTCCGGCAGGACAGGGGCCGCTGCCCAGACCCAGCTTGCTCGGCCCCACGATGCGCTTCCCAGCAACACTCTGCTGTGCAAACACGGGCGGCTGGCGAGGGCTGTGGGCGCGGGCGGCCCCAGGGAGGACACCTCTGAGGAATCGCCCGGGAGGAGGGCAGGCGGGCCTCTGGGTCCTGGTCTCAGCGGGGGGTGGGGGTTTGCTTACTTGGGGCCGACCAGACGGCGCTGGGCCTCCGTGTGGCCTCCGCGTGGCCGCCGTGTCCTCCGGCCTGGCTGACGGCGCGATCAATGCACAGCTACAGCTGGTTGAAGGGGACCAAATCCATTGAACAGTTGATTTGGTTCCATTTTACCAGCTTTAGCAAAGCATTTGGCTCCAGGGTCCACGGGAAGCAGCGACGTGGATGACACAGTCGTCCCCAGGGAGACGTGATGTCCGGACGCCCAGGACGCCCAGGCTCTGCCCCCACCTCCTCCCCTGCAGGGCCCACCGCGGCTGCGGCCCCTCGTGCCCGGCAGGGACCGTACATGACAGGGGAGTGCCACGGGTGGGGGCGGGGGTGGGGGCCCCACGGCGGACACACGTGCTTGCACACACACATGCACACGCATGCACACAGGGGCCCGGGCACAGGGGCTCCATCCCCTGGCAGCACTGCCCCTGCCCCTCACCTTCCCGGGCACCACAGCACCGGCCACTGCCCCAGCCCCGGGGCCCAGCCAAGACCCTCAGGGCCCTGCCCTCGGGGGGCTCACCGCCTGCGGACGGAGACCCCTGGCCCCAGCCTGCATCTCACTCTCAGCTGGAACTGAGGCAGGACAGGCCCGAGTCCCACCTGCGCTGTGGGAGGGGGAGGTGACCTCGGTTGCAGCAGGGGTCCCGGGGAGCAGGGTGGGAATATTCCAGGGAAGGCCCCCCTCTCGAGTGGCTGTGGGGGGTGAAGCAGGACACGGCTGACCCCACTGGTGCCCGGGGCCCCGGGCCCCAAACCTGTGGCCTGTGGGGGATGCAAGGAGAGTCCCCTCGGCCCCTGGCACGGCCCTGCAGTCCGAGCGAGGACAGCACGGGGCAGCCGGGGCCGCACAGACCTCATCACCCTCCGTGACTCTGACGGAGCAAGTTCCTTTTTAGAAAATTAGTTTTCCTGCCAGCACCCAATTCATCAGCACCGATGACGAGGGGGGACGGCTGCTTCAGCGGTGCCAGGGACACGGCGTCCCGGGTGTGTGGACTTTCCTCTGAGCACAGACCAGCCCTACAGCGCGGGGTGACCGCACCTGCCCCCCCCCCCCGCCAACTGCCCCGGTCCCTCCTCTGTGCCCGCCCTCCAGCAGCCGCGGGGGCAGGTGCTCGGTATCAGGCCCACCCACGGTCCCTGCGGGCGCAGAGCCCAGAGCCCCCCGAGACCTCGGCCCCGCCGCACCTGCCGCCGTACCCCTCCTCAAAGAAGTGAACCGGTCAGCGCCACAGGGTTCCTCCTCTGGGAACGGCCCTGGCCTTTCACCCCAAGACCAGCCCCCGAAGGGCAGCAGGAGCCCGGGGTGGGCCCCCCTGTCCAGGCTCTTCCCGTGGCCAGATCCCAGCTCTGCGCACACCCTTTCCTCTGGTTCCAGAGCATGTGGACGGCGGTGGGGCGCCCCAAGGATTCCCAGAGCTGGCCAGGGTGCTGGGGGGCTCCCAGCCCCACTGTGCATATTCCCAGCGAAGCGGGGCCATGACAAGCCTCCGTGTGGCCGCTGCCATGGATGGACACCGTCCCTGGGGGACCTGTCATCCCCGAGTCCAAGCACACGCCCACACCTGGGGGGGCGGCCCAGCCCAGCGTCCACGCCACCTCGCCCCTATGACACCCTCAGTGCTCTCGGGTTCCCATCCATGTGCCACCAAGTCTGCAGGAATTCCCCCCAAATAACAGACCTTCGCTTCCACGTGGCATCCCTCCTGGCCTGGGGCCTGTCCAGTGTGGCCCTGGACATGTCAGAGCACCCCCGGCTCAGCCGGGTCCCTGCTCGGGGCCAGAACGCCGGGGGCGGTGGTCTCCCAGGGGCCAGGAGCGAGCACAGCAGGTGGCTGACGGGTTCGCCCCCGGTTCGGGCAGGGGCTGCCTAGGGACCCCGGCGGCATGGCCACGCGTCCTGGGCCGGGTTGTGTCCACGGCTCGAAGCCCCGCACGCCGGCCCCGCCATCCTGTCATCCCGGGGAGGGGCCCGGGGCTCAGGATGCCTCCCGTGGCCGCCCTCCCCGGCCTGAGGCCGTCCAGCCGCGCACGCTCGCGCCCCCATACGGCCTTGTCTGGGGAAGGTTCTGGCAAGTGTTTATTCAGTGAGTGTCCGGCCCACGTGACTCGGGCCGAGGGGCTGGCGGGGCTGTGTCTGCGGCACCCCCGGGGTGCAGTCCTTGCCTGTCTGACTCAGTTGCCCAGTGAGTGTCTAACTCAGTCTGGCAGATTTTCTGCACCCCCCACCTAGGCGTCCGGGGTCTCAGCCTCCATCGGGGGCTCCCGGCTGCCCCACGAGCCCCGGTGCCCCCTGAACGGGCCACGGCTCCACCCAGGTGCCTCTTGAGCCCCCGCCCAGGCCCCCCCGCTGGTTCGGCCCCTCCACTCACCTCCACCAGCGCCTCAGGAGCCCCCGCCCCTTCCCGCCACGGGACTCGGGGCCTCTGAGCCCAGGACCGGAGGGAGAGCACGGCCGAGCCCAGAGGACGGCAGGGGAAGCGGACAGGGCCGGTGCCAAGCCTTCACGGTGACTTGCAAACGCGTCACGACGCCTGCATTTTCGTGCGCGATGCCTCCCGTCACAGGGAGGAGGGCGCCCCGGCCCGGGCTGCGGGGCCTGGCGAGACGGGCCGCGCGTCCGGGGAACCCGGCATCCGCGGGCCGTGGCTGGAGCGGGGCCGCGGCTTCCTCAGGACCCTCCCCGCGGCCCCCGCGCCTGTCTTTCCACGAGGGTGAGACAGAACCAGGCTGCAGCCAACACAGTGTGTGCGTTTTATGAACCACACAATTAAATAGGTTTTAAAACATCTGCTGATGGAATCGTCCCGTCCGGGGACGTACACTCAGCATTTTTAAGCAGCAACTGATACTGGATGTGGGGAATCACTGCGGAACACTCCGGCAGCCTGTTAAAATCGATAGAAAATTAGATGCGATGAGCGTGCATATGTGTCCAATTAGCTATGATCGGAGCAAACGGCGACACAGGTGAAACGCGGTGCGTCCGCCCAGACTTGAGGCCAGCCTCACCCCCGAAGGCCCCCAGTGGGGCAGGGACACCCCCGACGCCAGGGCCACAGGGCTGCGTGGCTGCTGGTGCTGCCCTCAAATGCAGGGGGCCCCAGGGCCCAAGCAGCAGCCGGCACCTCCTCCAGGAAGCCCTCCTGCATTTGATAAGGGGCCTTAGACTCAGAGTGAGGACACAGTGAGCGGCTGAAGCTCCCCGGGCGACCTGGGCACACCAGGCTGCCCCTGCCCGGACCTTGAGCTGTCCCTCAGTCTGACCCACCAGTTGGGGGCACAGAGAGGGCTTCCTCGGTCTCTGTGAGCCTCGGTTTCCCCATGTGGGAGTGCCAGCCTCACACCGTCCATAGTCCTTGCCAGCCCATGCCCCTAACCACTGCTACCACCTGTCCCAGCGCAGAGGGCAGCCCTGGACCTCATCCCTCCCATGCTGCCCCACGGCCCCCACCCTGGCGCCCAGACACAGCACCCACTCAGGGCAGAACCACCAGATGCCCCAGACGGAGGCGTCAGCGCCCTGCACAGCGGGTGGGACGGCCGGGTCCTCAGGACAGAGGTGCCACCCACCTCCCCTCGGGGACAGCCAACAGCAGAGATGCACATGGGGCCGAAGACCCTGCACTCGGAGGTCACGGGGCGGGGCGGGGGTGCAGCTGCGCCCCCCCAGCCAGCACAGGGCCCGGGCGCCCGGACCGCGTCAGGGGCGTCCCAGCCGCAGCGCCCGACTCCCACCGCCCGGGAGCCCGTCAGCAACTCCTATCTGGATGCCTCTTGTGCTTTTTACTATGAAGCTTTTAAAATTTAAACATCAGTAACCTAATATGTCTCCGGCAGCAACGTTACCTATTAGCACTCAGATTCACCACGAAATTAATTTTTAATCCCAGATTTTGGTTAATTATTAAAATAACTAGCCAAGAACTACAGTTAGTCCCGGGAGCATGAGCAGCACCAGCCCAGGGCCGGAGCAAAGGACCCTGCCCGGCCCGCGCCCGCGCTGCTGGGTCCTCTCGGGGTGTCTCCAGGGGGCCCCACAGTGTGGCAGCCCCGCCCCCAAACAGCTCTCGCCCCTCGCGCTCACCCAGCCGGATGCCCACCTAGACCTGCTCAGCCCGTGTCCGTGACCTTCCTGTCTGTTCAAAAAATATACATGTATTATTTCTCAACACTGATAAAAGTTTAATACGGAGTTGCCCGGGATTTTAATAAACAAGTCACCAAACGAGCAAAGTGAACTGATGGGGCCCGTCCTAGAGATAAATTTCGCCTCCAACAGGCAACGCCGGAGAGCAGGGCCGCGGGGCGAGCGGGGACGCGGGACGAGAGGGGCCGCACGACCGTTTTGCTGTTCTTTGCAGAAATGGTAAGAAGGATTTTTGTGTCTTATTATCCCACAGGTGGGGCCGGGGTGAGAGCCGGTGTAACGGCAGGAAAGCGAGGCGCCCGGCCGAGACCGCCCCGGAGAGCCCTGAGGTCAGGGCGGGTGGCCCAGGAGCAAATTCGCAGGCCATGAGGGCCACTCGGCACCACGGCGCCTCCATGCAGTCCCCGTCCCCCCGCCCGCAGACACGGACCCCAGCGACCCCCAGGGCACAGGGAGGGCTCTCCTCGCCGGGTCCGGGAAACGAGCAGGACTCCACTCAATGGGGTGCATCTGGCCCTGAACTCTGGCAGCAGGTGCAGACGTGCCCCGTGGCCACCGGCCTCCAGCCCCGGGGGCAGTGCCCGGCTCTCAGGCTCTCAGGGGGTGTCGGGCAGGTCATTTTATTCCTCACTCAAGGTCACCTGCTCCACTGGCTGCAGAGCCGGCGGAAACTCCACTGTAAGAGATTCGCTTCTTGGGTTAAAGGTGGAGGGAAAGCAAGGTCCCCCGGGAAGCCGCTGGCCTACAAGCCTCGGGGCGCGCTGCTGTGTGCAGCACAGGAGGCCATGGCCAGCGAGACAAGGAGGTACGGGGGGACCCTGGTGACAGCGTCCATGCTGCAGGACGCAGCCTGCGGGAACCAGGTCAGGCAGAGGTCCTGGCCCACCTCACCCCTGCCGGGGTCTCCAGGGCTTGCCTGGACGTGGCTCTCCTGAACTTGGCTCCCGCAAAGGGGGCAGGTGGGGAACGGACAGGGCTCAGAGCCCCGGCCAGCCCGCACTGCTGTCACCGCAGCCGCAACTGTGCACTTGGGTGGTGGGTGGGGTGCAAGGGGCCGCCCCTGGGCCTCCCCCGGCCCCGAGTCATCTGAGTTCAGCCTCTCCAACTGGACAGCTGAGAATGTGGACTATTTATACCGGCCAAGGCGGGCAGGCGGCTGCACAGACACACAGCCCGGGCGCCATATGTGGGCATGACGGTCGGCAGGCAGGCCTGCCAGGGGGACAAGGACCCAAGCGGCACGTCTGTCCTGGGTGTCCTTCACCCTCCAGCCTCCCCCGTCCCCCGTGACAGGCTCCCGAACAGCTGCCTTACCCCCTCTGCTGTTAAAAATACTCCAGCCCTGAACCTCCTGTCCTGGTCCTGTCCTCTGTGCCCCAAGCTAGACAGCTAGACGCTTGGCCCCAGGGAGGTGACCCCAGACTCTCCATCACCAGATCCGAGGGTGTCCACTCCCCTGGATGGGGGAAAGCCAGTGACCCTGTCGCCCGGCCCTGGGCTGCACACCAGCGGCCTGGAAGGCGCCTCTGTGCCTGGTGTCCCTGCCCTGCCACACACACCGGGCCGCACCCCCACCCCAGCACGGGAAGCGGACCTGGGCCTCAGCAAACGCAGGCGGATGGTGCAGATCTGCAGCGCCCCAGGGAGCAGGTGCCAGCACTGCCACTTCTCAGGACCCGTCGCCCTGAGTCTCTGTACTCAGGAGCAGCCGCCAGGCTGTCAGAATGGCCTTCCCGTCCCTCCCGTCCCTGCCCTTGAGATGCACACAGCCCCACATGCCGCCTGCACGGCAGCGCCCCGGCAGCAGCTCTGCAGCAGCCCGCACTGCTCAGCCGCCACCCCTGCAGCTGCAGCCCCTCCCTGCTGGGCGGGCCGGGCCTTCCCAGGGCCAGAGCCAGCCTGGAACTCTGAGCCACGAAGGCAGCACCCACTGGGAACCCAGGGATGCCGCCCAGGAGCGGCGCCCAGCTCTGGCCAGCCGGGTGCTCGGCCCCGCAGGGCCCGCGGAGAGAGTCCGGGGCAGGACGCAGGCGGAGCAGACTGCGGGAGCTCCTGGGGGCCCCTGGCGCGGTGCTGGGGACCCCTTCGCCTCCCCTTCTTGCGACCCGAGGCTGGCTGCTGGTGGGCCAAGGGCAGGGGTGAGGCCCGGGCCCCCAGGCGCTCCTGGCCGCCCCGGAGCAGCAGCGGGCGTCAAAGGCGGGGAGCGAGCAGTGGGGAGCGGAGGCCTCTGCAATGGGACGTGCGGCCAGCGAGGCTGAGTCAGCACAAAGCTCGCAGGAGGCCCGGTACCCTTTATGCTAAGGTGGCACAATTAATGCAACGGCGCTGGCCCCGCCCCTCGCTGGCCCCGCCCCTCGCGCTGGCCCCGCCCCCTCGCGCTGGCCCCGCCCCCTGCCCACCGTCCACTTTCAGCCCCGCATCTCCCTCCAGGCTCCATCCTCCTGGGCTGTGCCCTGGCCCTAAGGATTGCTGGGGTCCCCTCCGTGTTCCCGGGGCCGGGGGCGGGGGGACTTGCAGTGCACGCTGTTCACTTTGATGGACAGGCTGCGGCCGCATAAACACCGTAAAAACACCGTCCTGGGGGGATCCTGATCGTGCAGTGGCCCCTCCGCCCAGCAGTCCTCAGGGAGATTCCTCATGCCCCCCACAGATGCTTTCACCAGGGCCCCCCCCCTTAGAAAACCTTGTGCCATAAAACGCGTTCTTGCCCGTGACAAGTGCACCGTCCCACCGGAGACGCGAACGCCGCCTCCTTGGAAGCAGGTGCCACCGCTTCCTTGGTCACCTGGCTACACACACACAAGACACTTTGTGGTCAACGTAGACGCACGCACACGGCGCCACGGGGCTGCCCCCACCAGCCGAGCCCCTTGCACAGAGCGTGGCCGGATTTTGTGAGCCGTCACCAGAAAGAGGCGAACTAATTTGATAGGTGGAAATTATGAGTGCCACAATCCCCGGAGCCACCGTCTCCACACGCGGAACCCAGGCCTTGCCATTGGACTGCAAACGTTTCCCAGCTGTCCCGGGACACCCAGGAGCAGGCCTGCTCCAAGGGCTCAGAGAAAGGGGCACGGGCCACCCCTCCCAGCCTCCATGTCCCCGCACAGCCTCACAGAAACCACCTGGGTCCCCACGTAGGTGGGCAAGCCCTAAGAGGGTGCGGCCTTGACCCCCGCACACCCCAGACCCCTCTGCCTCTGCAAGGGTCCCGGGGGCCCCAGGGCGGCCTGTCGGGGGTGACAGGCCATCTCAGAAAAGCCCTCTGGGCAGAGCACACACATAGGCCCGCCGGCCTCTCCTGTCCCCGCAGAGAGGCCCAAAGACCCGACTCAGAAGCCACACTTGCTCTGGGTTCCCTCTCCGGCTCCTCCCCCGGGAAGCCAGGAGCTAGAGCTTCATGTACAGAAAGTTCCAGCCGCCCCCGGGGCTCCCACGGGGAGGCGTCCAAGTGGTGCCCGTTCTTATTTTGGCCAATCAAGAGACGGGTGGCAATTTACAGCTCTCTCCCTGCGAACTCGCTAGCTTTATGCTCAGTCAAACCTGATTCCCAAACACTAATGCTTTTATTTAAACACCACATCCTGCAGTAAAGCCTTAATGTACAGCGGGATGCATCTAGGGGAAGAGCCGTGTGTCTGCGGCCAGCCCTGGTGGCCACGCGCCCTGCTACTTCCCTCCCTGTGGCCGGAGCTGGAAGCATTGGGCGAGCATGACCTTCCCAGGGACGCTGGGCACGGACCCCCCCCAGGGCCCAGTGGCCGGAAGGAAGGCCATGCCCAAGGACCATCCTACCTCCCAGCTACGGGTGCCATTGGAGCGACCCTCAGCTACAGTCGCCCCCTGGGAGCTGGGAACTGCGCAGGCTCCGTAGTGGGACCTCCGTGGCTCAGGGCACCTGTCTGCCCCCAGACCCGGGGCTTCCAGCAGCTGGAGGAGGCAGCCTACCCGCCGGCCCCTCCCCGTCCCACTCCCGATGTGAGAGCCGCATTCCTGCCAAAGGTCAGGGTGTGGGAGGGGCTGGGGCACCTGCCATGGGCCTCGGGCAGCAATGCCAAGGACACCCAGAAAAGCAGAGATGACACACACGTTGGAAAAATAGCCCTGAGGCGAGGAGGACGTGCCCTGGGCAGACACTGGCTTCCCCGCACCCCTAGGGCCAGGATCTGGCCGAGAGGCCCCTCCCGCGGTGGCCCAGCCCCTGGCAGCCGCCCCAGAGCCCTCTGCCCTCTGCCTCGCCGGAGAAAGACCTGCGCTGTGGGGCCCGGCTCCGCACACCACACAGAGCATCTGCCCTCGTCCCCTGGGCCACCACGGGGTCCCATCACGGGACACCCCAGCCCCTTCCCCCAGCCGGGACCTGGGTGGTGGCAGAGCACACAGAAGGGGTCCGGCTCATCCCCGCAGCTGTCACCCTAGGCAGGAGAGGGAGGCCTGGGGGCTCGGGCTGCTGGGGGCCGAGGGCAGGGCCAGGTGGGGCCGCAGGGCAGGGCCGGCCACCCTTGGCACCTGTGCCCTCTGTCCGGGCGCCCCCGGGGTCCAGGGCTTGGGTGTTTCAGAGGCCGGAGTGGAGGCCTAGGGCCTGGGGCTGCAGGTGCCTCTGACCCCACTGCTGCCCTGGGCCTGACCCGGGACTCAGAGCCATGTGGCACCCTGGCCTCTGCCTCTCGGCGCAGCCCCTGGAGCCAGGGTGGGGTGTTTTCCTCAAGGAGCCCCCCACGTGGCCGCAGGAGCCCCTTCCCCTCCTTCCTTTCCTTGCCCGGCCTGGCTCCCTGACCCTTTGGGGACACGCTGCTTTCCCAGAGTCTGCGAGCTGCTTCCCGCCCCCCGCACAGACAGCCCCTTCTACTGGCGGATGACCCCGTCCAGGGTGTGCGGTGTGCGGAAGTGAGGCCCCAGAGCCGCGGGCACCCGACCTGCCCCCCCCAGCCCCCCACGGACCCCACGCCTGCCACAGGGCCACCTTCCCTCTGCCGCAGTCAGCACGTTGAATATTTAATGTCTGATGAACGCTTCCACCTGCTGACACAGGCAAAGTGACAGAACAATACCGGCAGGGGACAGGTCCGTCCGCTGACGCCCAGGCAGCCTGCCACGGAGGCCTCGCCCCGGCCGCAGCCACCGCCCGGCTGGCTGGCCGTCTGTCTGTCCCCGGGGCGACCCCGCGGGCGAGCGTTCCCCACCTGAAATACATACTTCTTTACATTCCATAGCTTAGCAGGTCCATATGGGCATATAAAGAAGTATGTTCCCCAAGCGGGTAGTTCGGTATGGACGTGGGCTCAGGGAAGGGGCCCCAGGGAGGATCCGCACCCGGAGCCCGCGCTGTGCCTGGGGCCAGCACACCTCGTCCTGGCTCGGCCCCCCCCGCCGACCTGGGCGCCCTCTGCCTCCCGCTCTCCGGGGCTGGCACACGCGCGCGCTCTCGAGAATCCCTCCATTCGCCCCACAGTGATCTGGTTTTGCGTCAGTGGAACAAGAAAAGCAGGGACCCGGGCTGCCACCTCCCACCCTCACCCCGGAGAAGGGATGCGCGTTTCCTCTCGGAGACGTGCGAGCCTCAGCCAGCACCCTCCCTCTCCATCTGGGCATCTTGTCCCAGCCAAGTGCACGGGGAGGCCGGAGCTCAGAGGGAACCCACCCCGAGTGCTCGGGGAGCAGCACCGCTCGCCGTGAGCCCAGGTGGGAGGACCAGGAGACCCCGGGAGGGGACAGGCCTTACCTGGGCAGCTTGCGGCCTCCTGTGCAGGTCCCTGGTGGTTGTGCCTCCCAGGAACCGCACCCCGCGCAGGCAGGGCGCCGTCATGCCTCTGCCTCTGGAGACACACGTGACAAGGACAGTAGCAGGTGGACCCTGCATCTCCAGAGGCCGGCCAGGGGCTGCTGGGAGGTGGTCCTGCTGCCACCTGCCCCTTCTGCTCCGGGGGCCGGGCAGGGCGGCTCCTGCTTCCCATCTCTGGCGGCCGCGCCGCCACCTCCTCCGGCTCCCTCCCTCCCTTCTTCGCCCTCTCCCTCTCCTCTGCACTCCTGGCGTGTCACCGCCTCTGCCGGGGCCACCTGAAAAGATGCTTGCAGCAGCGGGCGGTCACACGGGCACCCGGGGGCCACCGAGCACTGCCCGCCCGGCGACGCGGCCCGGCCCACCTGGCTCCCGGTGGCACCTGCCCGGCCCCCACCAGGCCTGATCAATACCAATTTACAGGCAAACGCAGGGGCCGCCTTCCTGGTGATGAATTTCCCGGTGAGCACCGGCTTCTAATGAACCCGTTAAAGAGGTTTAAGTAAACTTAGCGCGAGGCAAGCTAAGCACTTCGAACGCTTAATTGTGTCGATACTGTTTCTCACTGCGTCTCAGAGTCTGCCCGTGATGGAGGAGTCGCCCCTCTTCCCCTGCAACTTCTCTGGCCACCCCGAAGCCTGGAGAACCACGGAGAGCCTGACACGGAGCAGCGTGGCTTCCAGGTCGGGTGCCCGCCAGGGGGAGGCCACCCCCCAGCCTGGGCCTGGGGGCGTCAGCAGCGCACGGGTGAGGTCCCGCCGTGGCCGGGCTGAGGCCTGCGGCCGGGCGGCGGAGAGGGCGTCACACGTCGCTGGGCGCCTGCAGAGGGAGAGAGCAGGGGACACGCTCGCGGGGGCAGGGGTCCGGCTGGGCACATACACAGACCACCTGCACCCGGGGTCCTGCTGTCTAGGCAGCTCTAGGCCCCCGGCCCCAACACACTTCCAGTTCCATCTGCAAGACAAGGCCCGGGGTGACCCGGGGCGACCCTGTGCACCCTCGCCTCCAGGCAGCCCACCCGTCCCGCACAGACGGCCCAGGGAGGGTGTCCGGATGCTGCCACCCCCAGGGCAGGGCCGCGTCTCCGCAGAGCCTGCAGGGTGCACTGGCAGCTAAGCAATTTCTCGAGTCCCTGGGCTGTGGCAGCCGCACCAGGCACGGCCGGGCTGGGGTTTTCCTTGGGTGGGGGGGTGATCTGGGCTCCAAGAAGCTCCCCAGTGCAAGGAGAGAGCCACCCTGCAGGAAGATCCTGAGGAGCGATGTCCCATTTTCATGTGGCTGCTGTTATTTATCATCCTCATGGAGCCGGAGTGAAAAAGGCGACCGGGATGCCCCCAGGCCCCCGCTGCCCCCTGCACCCCGGGATGTGCCCTCCAGAGACCCTCACCTGGGAACGGGAGCCTGGCACCTACATCTCCCCCCCCCCCCAGCAACCAAGGAGGGCTCAGAAGCCCTGCTGGGGCCTGGGACCCTCCTCAG